AATAAAGAAATGAACATTGAGTGCAAAGCCAAAACACTAACCACTTAGAAATCTGAAAGCATTCTTCCAAATAACTCAACATCTAAGAATACTATTATTATTATTATTGTTATCATTGCTATTTAGAAATCAACAATGTTGCTCACTAATAAGAACTGAAAATTTCTTGGGGAAATGACAGCTTGCAGATAGGGAGTGGAAATTACATGTATTGAGCCTTGAATGTCTAGTTATTCCAGAAGGCAAGGTGGCCGTCAGAGACTGTGAGGGTCTTAGGAGTCACATGAAGACTATCTTGGTTACTTCTGACTCGCTGAGACAAAATATCCAACACCCAGAATTAAGGAAGGAAAGGTTTATTTAGCTCACAGTTTGTGGAGATTTTGGTCCATACTCAGCTGGCTCCAAGGCAGAGTGGCATGGCAAAGGGCAACTGTTCATGGTGGTGGAAAACAGCAAAAGCAGCAAGAGTAAAAAGGGAGGAGCAAGAGCAAGCCTCTTTCCCTCCCTTATACTGTATGCCAGCTATCCACTCACACCATCTCTGTGCCCTCCTCTTTCTCAAACTCAAGAGGTTTACAAGCTGAGGACCCTGGTCCCCTGCTGAATCACTTAGTTAACCTTCTAAATTTCTCAGTTCTCAAGATGACACAATATATCAACCACTACAAGGACTTAGGAGTCAACTGTAAGGTTCATCCTCTGGTCAGAGATGGGGCAGTGTGCACACTAAAAAGATGACCACAATCAATGAAATGCAGCCAATACTGAAATCGATGCACTTGTAATAACACTTTAAAAGTGGCCAGTTCTGGGGTTTCTAGAGCATGAACCTATTCTGAAAAAATTAGTAAATAAAAATATTCTAGCAGACATCCAGTCCTTCTCTAAAAAAGGACAGAATGCTTCCAGGTAAACATATAGTTCATAGTAAGAAATAATAGAATTTAAACTATTCATTTTGACAACCCCTAATGAAATAAAATATCTGGACAGTGATTATGAATGAATGCTAAAGCCATTAGATAAGAATGAGGGAGAACATTATAAAGGATGATTTGAGCACAGTCCAAGCAACTTAGCAACTTAATGAGATCCTGTCTCAAAATGAAAAATACAAAAAAAGAGCTGGGGCTGCTACTCAATATGAAGATCCTAGGGGAAACCTCAGTAACACATAACAAACACACACACAAACAATAGATCAGACTGGAAATATTTGAACCTATTGATCAATGTTAGCATTCCAAGAAAAGAAACAACCACACATTGTGGGCCTTCTGATCTGAGGTAGCACACCACACTACCTATGAGAGATTCTTCCAGAATTCTTAAACTCAAACCTGAGTCTAGTCAAACCTTGAGTGTAATCATCAGTGAACAAGCAATACAAGGATAGAGGAACGTGTTAAACAACACCATGGGTACAGAGTCACCCAAGTCCATAACTGAGAAATGTTCTAGAACAAACGCCTCAGTCCCTTGCAAGAAAAAAATAAAATCAAAAGGAGGAGGGGAAAGAGGAGATGGAAAGCGATGCATCAACCCAATGGCACATATGGCCTTTATTTGAATAATGAGTCAAACAGATCAACTATTAAAAGATATTCATGAGAGAAGGGGGATTTTCTTTTATCATTTCATGTGAAAATATTGATGTTTATTTAAGAGTTCAAATGTGTTAGAGATGCAAATAGAGTAATGACAGATAAAGCAATATATCTGTCTTTTCTTTAAAATAATCCAGAAGGCTGTGGGAGTAGAGTATAGATAAACAACATAGACCATATGTGTCGAAACTAGTGGTCTAAACTAGGGTTTCATTATTCTAACCTCTCAACTTTGTGTGTGTTTAAAATTTTTCATAATAAAAAGGTTTTTTAAAGAGCTGGATGACAATGAGAATAACATATCAAAATGAGTGTCCAAGTAGCACTCAAAGAAAGCTACTTCCATTTTTTAAAAAACAAGAAAGACAAGCAATGAAATAACCATACAGCTCTAAAACATAGAAATGGAACAAAACTAGTCACAGTAAAGTAGAAGTGAAATTTTGTGTAAAGATAGAATGCATCTGAAAATAAAATCAAAGTCTGTCATTTTACACCACAAACAATCTGGACACAACAATCATGCTTCTAATCCCAGCTATTTAGGAGATTGAGGCAGGAGGATTGCAAGATTGAGGACAGCCTGGACAACTTAGTGGGACACTATTTCAAAAAATAAACAGATCTGGGGTTATAATTCAACATCTGATGAGTTCAATCTCCAATACCAAGAAAAAAATAACAACTAAATCATCACTAACTAGTACAACTAAGAAAATAAGAAATAAAATTCAAACACTTTAGGATTGAAAAAAGTACCATACTCACAAATATGGGAGAAACTCTAAATATAAATAATGTTTCTTTGCTTTTTAGTTGTAATAAAACCAAAAATCCACATGAAATGAATGATTTTTAGTCTAACAAAAATGATCCAAAATAGTTCAAGGAAATATATAAAACATAAATATACTAATATAAAATAACAGTTTAAGATCTAACCCCAAAAAGTATCAGTTCAGATGGGTTCATTAATTTATTCTTTCTTTTATTCACTGAGAAATATCAACTGAACACCTATTATACCAAGCATTATTTTTTAGAATGGACTTAGCAGTAAACCAGGAAGGAAGGAAGAAAAAAAGGATGGAAGGAAGGAAGGAAGGGAAAGAGTAAGAAAAAAGGATGCTTTCTTAAAGTTACATTCTAGTGGTGATATGTGGGAAGAGGAAAATACAGACAATCAGATCTATGTTAGATGGTGTATAGACTCAGTAACTCCTACACACTCACACTACACCTAAATTATAATCCTCAAAACCACCAAATATGTGATTTTACATGAAAAAATATGACTATATATGAAAAAACTCATTTGTGATCTTGAGCTGGAAACCTTATCCTGGATTATCTGGGTAGAGCCAGTTGTAAACATAGGACTCTCTGGAAGAGGGAAGTAGAAAGATAAGACACAGAGGGAGAGAGCTGGTGCTATTCCAAGTGTGAAGAGAAGAAAGGGGCCTAGGCCGGGCCCAGAAAGCATGTGGCCTCCCACAGCTGGAAACAGAAACAGACTTCCCTCAAGCCTCTGGAAAGATCCAGCCCTGCCTGCCTTCATCCTAGGACTTTTGGTTCACAGATTTGTAAGAGAACACATTTGTGCCGCTTAACCACTGAATCTGTGCTAATTTGTTACAATAGCAATGGGAAACCAATGCAGATTTGGGAAGAAATGAAGCCGAGTCAGGGCATGGGCCAGCCAGAGGCTGCAGTTTACACGTGGTTAGGGTGAGGCTTAATTCTAGCCAGATTTTTTATGTAAACTGTTCCAAGCATAGGAGAAAAAAGAAGAAAGAA